GAACAGGGTATGTGTTTCCACTTTTTTATATCTTCCTCTATTTCTTTTTTCAATGACCTGTAGTTTTCTGCAAATAGGTCCTTTACTTCTTTGGTTAAGTTTATTCCTAGGTATCGTAATTTTTTTGGAGCGATGGTAAATGGGATTGTTTTTTTAGTTTCTCTTTCTGTGAGTCAATCATTGGTGTACAAGAATGCCGTCGATTTCTTGACATTAATTTTGTATCCTGCCACTTTGCCAAATTCATTTATTAAGTCTAATAGATTTTTGATGGAGTCTTTAGGGTTTTCTATGTACAATATCATGTCATCTGCAAATAATGACAGTTTCACTTCCTCCTTTCCAGTTTGGATCCCTTTTATTTTTTCTTCATGTCTGATTGCTGTGGCTAAGACTTCCAGTACAATGTTAAATAATAGTGGTGAAAGTGGACATCCCTGTCTTGTGCCTGTTCTTAATGGAAATGTTTTTAGTTTCTGTCCATTGAGTATGATGTTGGCGGTAGGTCTTTCATATATGGCCTTTATTATGTCGAGATATGATCCCTCTATTCCTACATGCTGAGCGTTTTTATCAGAAATGGATGCTGGATTTTGTCGAATGCTTTTTCAGCATCTATTGATATGATCATGTGGTTTTTATTCTTCATTTTGTTTATGTGGTGTATCACGTTTATTGATTTGCGAATATTTTACCAGCTTTGCATCCCTGGAATGAATCCCACTTGGTCATGGTGAATAATTTTTTTGATGTATTTCTGGATCCGATTTGCTAATATTTTGTTCAGGATTTTGGCGTCTATGTTCATCAGGGATATTGGCCTGTAGTTTTCTTTCTTTGTAGTGTCTTTTTCTGGTTTTGGAATTAGAATTATGCTGGCCTCATAGAACGTGTTTGGAAGTCTTCCTTCTTCTTGAATTTTGTGAAAGAGTTTGAGGAGAATGGGTGTTAGTTCTTTTTTGAATGTTCGGTAAAACTCCCCCGTGAAACCATCTGGGCCTGGGCTTTTGTTTGCTGGGAGAGTCTTGATTACCTCTTCAATTTCCTTAGTTGTTATTGGTCTGTTCAAGTTTTCTATCTCTTCCGGGAATAGTTTTGGGAGACTGTGTGTTTCTAGAAATTTGTCCATTTCGCTTAGATTGTCGAATTTGTTGCCATATAGTTGTTCATAGTAGTTGTTAACGATCTTTTGTATTTCTGTGGTGTTGGTTGTTACTTCTCCTCTTTCATTTCTGAATTTGTGTATTTGGGTTCTCTCTCTTTGTTTCTTGGTGAGTCTAGCTAAGGGTCCATCAATCTTGTTTATCTTTTCGAAAAACCAGCTCTTTGTTTCATTGATCCTTTGAATTGTTTTTTTGGTCTCTATGTCATTTATTTCTGCTCTGATCTTTACTATTTCCTTCCTTCTACTTGCTCTGGGGTTTTCTTTTTGTTTGCTTTCTAATTCTTTAAGTTGTGAAGTTAGACAGTCAATTAGAAATTTTTCTTGTTTTTTGAGGTAGGCCTGTAGTGCTATGAACTTCCCTCTCAGAACTGTTTTCACTGCATCTCATAGATTTTGTGTTGTTGTGTGTTCATTTTCATTGGTTTCCAGGAAGTTTTTAATTTCTTCCTTGATCTCCTTGGTGACCCATTCATTGTTTAATAACATGCTATTTAGCCTCCATGTGTTGAAATGTCTTTGCATGTTCTTCTTGCAATTGATTTCTAGTTTCATGCCATTGTAATCTGAGAAGATGCTTGATATGATTTCAATCTTCTTGAACTTGTAGAGATTTAGTTTGTGTCCTATCATGTGGTCTATCTTTGAGAATGTCCCATGTGCACTTGAGAAGAATGTGTATTCTGTAGTTTTGGGGTGTCATTCTCTGTAGATATCTATTAAATCCATTTGGTCTAGTGCTTCATTTAGAGTCTCTGTTTCCTTGCTAATTTTTTGCCTAGAGGATCTATCCAGTGCTGTCAACGGGGTGTTGAAGTCCCCTGCTATGATTGTAGTGTTGTCGATTTCTCCTTGGAAGTCCTCCAGAAGATTTTTAATATATTTTGGTGCTCCTATATTGGGTGCATATATGTTTATCAAGGTTATATCTTCCTGTTGGATAGATCCTTTCAATATTATGTAGTGGCCGTCTTTGTCTCTAGTTATGGTCTTCATTTTGAAATCTATTTGATCAGATATGAGAATTGCTACCCCAGCTTTTTTTTGCTTTCCATTTGCTTGGAAAATTTTTTTCCATCCCTTCACTTTCAACCTATGTGAGTCTTTTGTTGAGAGGTGGGTCTCTTGTAAACAACATATAGATGAGTCATGCTTTCTTATCCAATCAGCTACTCTGTGTCTCTTTATGGGAGCATTCAATCCATTTACGTTTAAGGTGATTATTGATATGTACTTATTTATTGTCATTTTTGTTTAGTGTGGTTCTATTTTTCTTCCCATTTCTACTGCTAATTACAGCAGTCCTTTTAACATTTCTTGCAGTGCTGGTTTGGTGCTAATGTATTCCCTTAGCCTTTTTTTTCTGGGAAGCTCTTTATTTGATCTTCTATTTTGAATGATAGCCTAGCTGGGTAGAGTAGTCTTGGATTCAGATTCTTGTTTTTCATGACTTTGATTACTTCATGCCATTCTCTTCTGGCCTGTAGTGTTTCTTGGGAGAAGTCAGCTGAGAGCCTTATGGGGTTCCCTTTGTAGGTAACCTGTTGCTTATCTCTTGCTGCTTTTAGGATTCTCTCTTTGTCTTTAATTTTTGGCATTTTAATTACTATGTGTCTTGGTGTGGGCCTGTTTGGGTTCTTCTTACTTGGGACTCTCTGTGCTTCTTGAACTTGAATGCCTTCTTCCTTCACCAAATTAAGGAAGTTTTCTCTCACTATTTTTTTGAATATATTCTCTATCCCTTGTTCATTTTCTTCTTCTTCGGGGACTCCTATGATGCAAATATTATTACGTTTCCAGTTGTCCCATAGTTCTCTTAAGCTGTCTTCCTCTTTTTTAATAGTTTTTTCCTTTTGTTTTTCTGATTGTTTGATTTTTTCTACCCTGTCTTCTAATTCACTGATCCGGTCCTCAGCTTCTCCTACTCTGCTTTTTAAACCTTCCAATGTGTTTTTCATTTCGAATATGTCATTTTTTATCTCTTCTTGTTGGTTTTTAATTTCCATTTGGCTTATTTTCAGTGTCTCTATATCCTTACTCATGCTGTTCAGCTTCCTCAAGATCATGGCTCTGAATTCTAGCTCTGTTAACATGCCTAATTGCTCCACATTGATCTCATCTTCGGTGGAGGTGTCTTGCTTGGAAAGACATGTTTTAAAGAAGTAAAAGCATTTGTCACATGTGCCACATCTGGAAACTGCATTTCTAAATTAAAATGTTTATTGTTTGAAATATATTTAATGTTTAAATATGCATACATTTAAGTTGTTCATGTGTATTTGATACATTTATATACTGTAACATACTTGCCATTGTAGGATAGTTAGCAACTCTATCATGTCACATAATAATAGTAATTTATTTTGTGTGGTAAGAATAATTAGGACCTATTGAACACATGGGACTACATCAAACTAAAAAACTTCTGCACAGCAAAAGAAACAACCATCAAAATGGAAAGGGTACCCACTATATGGGAGAGTATAATTGCCAATGATATATCAGATAAGGAGCTAATTTCCAAAATATATAGAGTACTCATACAACTCAACAAAAAGAAGGCAGAGAACCCACTTAAAAAATGGGCAGAGGACCTAAATAGACACCTCTCCAAACAGGACACACAAATGGCCAAGAGACATGTAAAAAAATGCTCCACATCACTAATCATGAGAAGTGCAAATTAAAACGACTATAAGGTATCACCTCACACCAGTCAGAATGGCCGCCATCCACAAATCATTGAATAAAAAGTGTTGGCGAAGGTGTGGAGAAAAGGGGACTCTACTACACTGCTGGTGGGAATGCAGATTGGTGCAGCCACTGTGGAAAACAATATGGTGTTACCTCAAAAAATTAAAAATTGAATTGGCATTTGATCCAGTGATCCCACTTCTAGGAATATACTCTAAGAAGCCTGAAACACCAATCAGAAAGAATATGTGTACCCCCATGTTCATAGCAGCACTATTTACAATACCTAAGATCTGGAAACAGCCCAAGTGTCCATCAATAGATGAGTCCATAAAAAAGCTGTGGTACATATACACAATAGAATACTATGCAGCTGTAAGAAAGAAAGATCTCTTATCCTTTGAAACAACATAGAGGGACCACGAGAGTATTATGCTAAGTGAAATAAGCCAAGCAGAGAAAGACAAATACCACATGATCTCACTTATTTGTGGAATATAATGAACAAAACAAGCTGAGGAACAAAATAGACCCAGAGACATGGAAGTGGGGTGCAGACTGAGAAACCTCAGAAGAGGTAGACATGGGGGAAGGGAAGAGATAAACCACAGAACTTATATGCATATATGTGTAAACAAGAACCCAGACAATAATGCTGGAGAGGGGGCAGGATTGGGAGGAGGGTGTCAATGTGGGGAAAAGGAGAAACATCTGTAACTAAAGTAAATAAATAAACATTAAAAAATAATTAGGATCTAGTCCTTTAACCAGTTGGATGATTATAATACAATATTGTTGTCTCTGTTTACTATATTGTACATTAGATCTCCAGGACTCATTTATCTATGGCTTGCAAGTTTGTATCCGTACACAACATCTTTCCAATGTCCCCAACCCCCTGCCTCTGGTAACCACTATTTTGTTCTGTCTGAATATGTTTATTCCTGTTTTGACTTGACATTTGGACTTTGGTATATATAAATTTCAAATGAATGTGACATTATCATTTCAGAAAACAGTTCTTCATCTTGGAATAATTGTTTTAATTAAATGTATGTAAAGTGAACACAATGTCTGAATGAAAACTAAGGATATTGAGCACTCCAAGTAATTTCATGAAGAAAACAATAAATATATTACTCACCGATAGCTATTGTAAAGGTCAGTACAGGTAGAATTGTTCTCACAAGGATTCATTTTGCAGTCATTGGAATTTTGTTCACAAAAATGCCGTTCCCAACCAGACAGGCATGCACACAGGCAGCTCTAAGGGAATCATATAAAAATTATACAACCTTTAGGTATTTTTTACTATTAAGCCTAAAATCCAGATACTACTGGCTATTTTGATCTCTTGGTCAGTTTATACCTTTTACAATTTTTATAGAATGTCGATATTTCTCTCAAGTTTCTTTTACCACAGTTTAAAAACTGTGTAAACAGTATCCATTAGTATGTAATTCAATAAAAATTTGCAGTATATCAATAAAATCTATATAAAATATGAAAATATTTGTGACTTATGTTCACAGTCAGAACTATTAACTTTGTTAAATGTCTTAATATAAAAATATTGTATTAGCAATATGATTGTTGCGATTTAAACTAAACTAAAAAGCAACTCGGCAATAGCTCACAAGTTTGAAGATATAACTACAACAAATGAACCTTCTGTCAGCTTTGTGGCATTACTTACAAATAATTAACCTAGGTATGTTCAATAATGTTGGTTGATTAAAATAATAAAACTTTCTATATTATTTTTCTAAAGTATAGAAATGGCCTATAACAATATTAAAGTTCTAAAGGTAAAATGTTGTTTTCCCAAGATTGGGCAAACAAACAAATAAAACCCCTCAAATTACTGTGGGTAATAACTTATATATTAAAATATCTTTGAAGAATGCTGTTCTTTGTCAAAACAATAGAGTTTGGGCTCCTGCATGTAAAGACTCTAGATTTAACACTATGAAAAATATTAAAATCAATGTTAGCTGTTATCTTGTTCTTCCCTGTTTAATACAGTAGCCACTAGCCACATGTTGCTATACAGTATCGGTAAGTGATTGGCTCCAATTGAGATGTGCCTTAAGTATAAAACATAGATTAGATTTTAAAGATTTAGTATGCAAAAAAAAAAAAAAACATACAGTATTTCACTAATAATTGTATTACTTACACACTGTAATGGTAATAGTTATAAAGAGTTAAACAAAACACTTTAAAATTAACTTCACACATTTCCTTTAATTTCTTTTTAATGTGGCTGCTAAAAAATTTAAATCACACAGGGGTCTCATTACACTCTACTGGACAGAACTGTACTACATTATGCCAGCACAGTTTCTTTATTTGTGAATAGGGCTAAGACATCTACATAGTTATATACATACATACATACATGCAGTGAACAAGGTCCCTAAGATTAGGGAATGTGTTTAGTTAAATTTTTTTTCTTTATTGATTTTAGACAGAGAGGAAGGGAGAGGGAGTGAGGGATAGAAACATGGATGATAAAGAAGATTGACTGGCCGCCTCCTGCATGCCCTTCACTGGGGATTGGGCCCACAATCTGGGCATGTGTCCTGACCAGGAATTGAACCAGCAACCTCTCGGTGCATGGGTCAATGCTCAACAAGTGAGCCACACCAGCCAGGCAGAGAATGTGTTTAGTTTAATACATTGCAGCATCTTGAGCAGTTCTCGCACCCCACAGATACTTAATACATGTTTGTTGAACAAATGTAAAAGAATGAATATGATAGAAAAAATAATGTAAAAGCTGCACTTAGTACTCAAAACAGATTGCAAAAGGATTCTACGTGCTTGCTAGAGGTGGATAACAAATTTGTTACAAATATTACACTAACCAGAGAAAAACAAACATGCATGTTCCATGTATGTACATTTAGGTCACAATAATTCAAATGTATGCAATTTGCCGCTGAGTGTTCTGCTTTGCTTTAACAGGGCCAAATGGGTTTCTATGCCCGTGAGCAGCTGAAGGGCAGAGGGATGAGAGCCACCATATTATCAACACTGAACTTTATTCCTGACACATGTTAATTCTCCACTCAAAATCCTCATTAATCGTACCCACAGTTTGCTGAATTTTAGAAGATATTTTTCATGCATTGTTACTTTACATTGTTAACTTTCTCAGTGAGCATTTTGACATTCCCAAAGATTTCCTGGATTGTTTTTGTCTTTTTTGTTTGTTTTTTTTTTGTTCTCTTTAGTAAGCAATGAAAGGGGACTTACATTGAGTGTAATGATTATTTTTTGTTTCATGAATCTGCTATTAAAAACGGAAGCGATTCTACAATAGGCAAGTCAAGCATGTGCTGTGGTGAGTGGGGGATAACTACCCAATTTAGTGATGGGCATTAGGGCAGAGCAGGGTGGATAACATATGTGAAATCTGTGGGACAAGGTGAGTTACCCTTTAATTATGTTCTGAAAATTCACTTTCTAAGAGGTATGAAACATTTCTGTAAAGACAAAACACATAAATTTACTGCTGTTTTTTATTTTGACAACTTGGTAATAATTTAAAATAAATTTAGTGATTAAAAAGCCAATTAAATTACTTTTCCATTATAGTCATATATTCCTTAAATGTTAATAATTTTTGGTGTTCTTGATGATTTAATAATTAGTATAAATTATCATCAATTTAATTTTATAATTATCATTAAAGTGTCAGGTACTACACCAGTGAACTCAGATAAGATGGAATTTGTATAAAAAGAAAACAAAAGTATGAAAGAAATAGATTTTTTTCCTAATGTTAAACATTACAAAAACTATAAATGTTGAACGGTGTAGACATGAATATTAACTAGAAATAACTCAGAATTCAAGTATTTTTATTTATCGATTGCTTACTGGAATCAGAATCATTTTTCTGAATGTAGATTTCCCCATTTAACCATGTAAAGTTAATTACTTCCAGAAACATTAAATAATAGTTAAAGGTAAAATACTATTTTAAATCACATTACCTTGGTACTAAATAATTATATTATATTTTGAGCTAGGTTAACTGAGGCGGGAAATGCATTTAAAATATATTTACTAAAATTTGAGTAGAAGTTTACATACTTTATGAAGTTGAAGCCACATCATTTTTACCTCTTAATAAGAAGTAGACATTATTCTTCCTGTAAAATTCAGATAAAACAGTTTTCGGAGTTTGAACATATGCAGGTAAGAAGAAGATAGGGAAGACAGCAATGTGAGAAGATGATCTAGATCTAGAAGAGGCAACTACCCAGCCAGTGGGACAGATGACGAAGCAGTAAGGTTAGGTAAATGTACAAGGAAGAACTGTCCAGTGTTTAATATTTCAAGTCAAAAAGCAGATATTTTAAATCTCCATGATCAGTGGCAAACAAACTGAGTTGAATAGAATAATTCTGAATATTAATTTTGAAGTTTGAGAGATAAAAATAGAAAAACGATTTTGCTGCTTATTAAATTTCTAGACACGTTTGGTGTACTAATTTTCTCTTGCTTCATACAAATTACGACAGATTGAGCAGCTTTAGACAACATAAATTTACTATCTCACAGTTTCTGTGGGCCATTGTCCAGGTATAGGTTGTTTGGGTCCTTTGCTTAGAGTATGGCCAGGCTGAAACCAAGGTACTAACTGGGTGGTGATCTCATCTGAGCCTTGGGGTCCTTTGCAATGGTTGTCAGCAAAATTAATTTCATTGTATCTATAAAACTTAGAGAAAATTAACTTAAATTAGAAATGTAACTTCAGTTTAACTTTATTTAGAAATAAAACTAAGTCATCGTATTTTTGCTAACTGTCCGGCACAGACAACATTCAGCATCAGGAGACGGCGCTGGGTCCTCAGCATGGGTCCTCCGTTTCTTCTAGCAGGGCAGTCTGCCTCTGCCGGGACACCAGGAAAGCGGGGCTGCAGTAACTTGCTCTTTTAAGGGCCCGTCTAATTAGGTCAGGGTCAACCAGGATACTCTTACATCTGATTAATCTAAGTCAAGTGATTAGGAACCCTAGTTATAGTAGTAAAATCTTTTTCAAGATAATAGAGCATACCCATGATAGTAATATCCCAACATAGACACAGGTCTTACACACAATGGGAGGAGATTTTACAGGGAATGATATACTAGGAGGTGGGAATCTTGGGATTATTTTATAATTCTGTCCACTACATCTACTAACTTAATTTCTCTAAATGACATATTTAAATTCCTTAAGCCTCTGTTGCTTTCATACGTAAAGTACCAATAATATCTACTTCATATGCTTATTTTGAGCATTTAGTGCAGTAATGATTATAACATGCTTATCTCAGTGACACATAATTGCCACTAATTAATAGTAGTCATTGCCTCTAGGTATACCAGTCTAGATTTGACAGTAATATGAAGGTCAACGTGAAACTTTCAGAAAGTACTGCATCTAGATCAGAATATCCTTTTTTTTTTTTTTTTAATCCTCACCCGAGGACATTTTTCAATTTTTTGTTCAGATAGAGTGGGAGGGAGAGAGAGGAAGAGAGAGAGAGAGAGAAACATCGATGGGAAAAGGACACATCGAGTGGCTGCCACCCACAAGACCAACCAGGGCCAGTGACAAACTGCAACCGAGGTACATGCCCTTAGCAGGAACCAAATCCAGGTCTCTCTGGACCGCAGCCTGATGCTCCAGCAGCTGAGCCAAACTGGCAAGGGCCAGAATTATCCATTTTTATATTATTTCTTTGCATGGACAAGTTAAGCTACTTACTGAAAGATAAAGATTATCAGAAAAGGAAAACAAAGAAGAAGAAAAGGAAGAGACTTTAGTAGTGTGTCAATTATAAGACACAAACTTAGATGAAGTAAAGAAATTTCAGAACATATAAATTAGGAAAAGTAATCAAGAAAAAATAGAAAATAGTATTAAACAAATATACATCTTAAAATGCACCAAAAGAGGGAGCTTGACAGTAGGCTTACATAGACAGAATTAAAATTATTTCCAAATCTTTAATTTCCCTCTGATGACATATAGGTACATAAAATAGAAAAACAGGTGAAACTACCTGACTTATATTAAGACTACTATAACCTAGTTACCAAAACCTGGTTAGTATATAATAAGAAATAAAAACTCAGCCAGTGTCACTTAAGAAAATAATAATTAATTAAAAAAAGTATTTTAAGTAATTGAATCTAACAATGTCTTCAAAATATGGTCTATTAGAAGCTGGTACTTCCTCCCTCCCCATCCCCCTACCCCTGAA